CGGCCCGGAAGCAGAAAGCAAACAACAGGACCCCACCCACCGCAGCTCCCCGACCTGCCCGGCCCCCCTCAGCCCGGGGTCTGGGACGGTTTCAGAAGCAGCAGAGGCGTGTCATGGAGATGCCGGCATCCCTGGCGAGGACTCCATGCAGCTGAGCACGCTCCCACGTGGCCGACGCTCTAGTTCTGGCACGAACAGCTCCCCGAGATGCGAGCGCAGCGGGGACTAGCATGTGCTCTCGCTGTGTGGCGGCGACTCCTCCCTCCCCGACGGGCCTCCCTGGAAGCAGCCCTACCTTCTCGATGGCGATCTCCTTGATGGCTGCCGTGACGATCTCGTTGAGCACGTCCGCGTGCTTGTCAAGCTCCATGGCAAACATGTTCTCCAAGGTGAAGGTCTCGGTCATTTCGAAATACACGCCCGTCTTTTCCATGAGCTCTTTCCAGTGCCTGGAATGCATGAACAGCATGCTCTGCTGGCCGACCGACCGTGGTGCTGGGTTTCCTTCCTCCCCCCGAGGTCCCAGGACGGTCCCCGGAAACACGAGGGCATCGCTGGGACTGCTCCCCAAAGCCCCACGGCGGCCAGGAGATGAGCTATCCATGCAGGTCACGTGTTCCTCTGCGCGGGGCTGACCTCGCCCCCTGGCTATTCGGGTGAAGAGAGTGAAAATGATGCTACACCCGACGGGGTGGCTTTCTGTTCGAAACGGGAGACGCCTTGTGGCCGATCGCCTTATAGAAAGTTCACATGAAAACGACGTTACAGAAACACACTCGCCTCTGTCTGCCCGCCTCGCTGAGCCTGGCTCTTGGCCGTCCCGTCTCAGCAGAGACAGCCCTGTCTGTGCTCAGAGGCCGCCAGAGGCCCGGACAAACCTGTCCCGGAGCGCCTCGTGCTTCAGGTCCAGCAGCAGGGGGATCGAGTCCTTGAAGGCCTTCATCTTCGCCTCCAGGTGGAAGGCCACGGCCAGGTTGCGGACCATCCGCGGGAACTTGCGCAGGGAGCGCAGGAAGCCCTCGATGCCCTCCTGCAGGAACTGCACGTTCAGGTTGATCCAGAGCGTCTGGGACCACTCTTCCTTCGCCACCTGGGGATGGACGGGACGGCCATCAGCGACCCCCCTGGACACACGAAGGCAGCGTGACCTGACCAGGAATCCAACCGTGACCTCTTGGTGCATGGGTCAAAACTCAGCCACTGAGCCACCCCGGCCAGGCCATTTTAGCCATTTGTAACTGAGCAAGTCAGTGACATCAAGAACATTCACATGTTTTTTTTTTCCCCTCCTCTTTCCTTCCCCCTCCCACCGCAGGCCCTATTCTCAACATTCACATGTTGTGCAAGCATCCCCACTACCTAGTTCCAGAACTTTCTCATCACCCCAAAGGGAACCCCGTCAGCAGTCTCCTCGTGCGTCTGCCCGAGAGCCGAGCGAGAGCATCTATGACACCGGCCCAGGCCCATCAGGGGGGTGGCCTCCGTGCGCGGGCCTAGCGAGTCCTGCGCTCCCCTCGGGGCTCACTTTCAGCTCCTCGTAGAGCTCGTAGATCATCCGCAGCCCGGTCATCTCCTTCTGCACCTTCAGCAGCTCTGGGTACATGGTGATCGGGAGGTCGAAGAGCTTCTCCGCGTTGGCCAGCTCCTGGCGGTTCCTTTCATGCCTCACCAGCTCCCTCTCAAAGCTGCCTAAGAGGTCCATGCCTAGTGAGGGAGTCACCGGGGGCGGGGGGAGGGAGGGGAGAACGTTAGGCTGCAGACCGGAGGAGCAGTCACGCACAGGAGCTGCCACGCACAGGAGCAGTCATGCACAGGACACGCACACCATCGCCGCACCCACGCGCCACCAGGGAAGACCCATTTGAAACCACCAGACTTCATCCCGCCTTGATTCTAACTAACACCAGGGCCGCTTTCACCGGCAAGTCCCTCCAATTAGAAATCTCCCTGCTTGGCATGCTGCCTCCTCTCGGGGGTGCCAGCCTGGCAGCCCAGAACAGTGGGGTCAGGCAGTTAGGACCTGGGCCCCAGGGATCAGTGGTTTTCCCAGATTCCCCAGGGGAACCCAGGGTACTGGCACCGCTAACAGCCACGTCTCCCCAGAACACTGCCAAGTAAAGCGACCTCAACTCACATACCTGGGGAAGGCCAATGAGACTGTCCTTACCGCTATCAAGGTCTTCACCCACCGAGCCAGGGCCTTCAGAATAGAACCGCTTTGCGAAGTCCTCCATCTGCTGCCTGAAGTTCATTATCTCGCTGCGAGTGATCTGGGGAAAGCAGGCGGCTGTCACTCGGCCCGCGGAGGCCCCGCGCTCTTGCCTCGGGAAGCCAACGCCACGGTACCTCCGTGAAGGTTCTCTTGATGCTGCCAAGAGCGTGCTCCACGTTCACAGAGTCGGTGAACAGGCTCTGCCACATGCTCTCGATCTTGTCAACCAGCTCTTTCTCCGCATTGGAGGGCTGACAGGAGAAGAAGAAGAATTAAAATAAAACACAGAACAAGCAATAAATGGTCAGCATTTGGAAGGAAGTGTGTGGTCAGAGCTACTACCCGGGGACTTTAAGTGACTTGAACCAACAACACAGCTGGTTTAATAAAAGTTATATTAAAAATTATATTTTTGTAATTAAAATAAATTCAGGGTAATTTTTAAAAATAAATAGTCGACATAGAAGGAGAGACAGATAACTTAGAGAGATAAGAGCTTTGTAAACTGAAAACCAGCTTCAGATCGACATAATCTCTGATTAAAACGCGGTGGCCCTGGCTCGCTAACGCATCCAGTTGTGCTGTCTGTCAGAGCGAAAACACGCCGAGACCACGCCCCCTGAGGCCCTGGCACACGGCCTCCAGCGCCCTCTGCCATCGGTCAGACAGCACAATGTCCAGAACATGCTCAGAATAACAGGAGACAAGGACACACATGACTGGCTGAGACCAAGGGCGGCAGGACAGTGGGAGAGACCGCCCAAGGCTGTAGGACACAGGGTTCAAACATTTTACTTGACAGAGTGAAGACAACAAAAGGCAAAACGGAGACTTTCTGTCGTAATTATAAAATGTAAATTTGCTTAGTGCGCATCTCTCTGATGTAAATTTTGCTACTGCTCCGGGAAGGCGTGCAAAGCCGTCAAGCAAGTAAATGCTGACGTCATAGGAGCCACGCGAGACCAAGAAACAGGCTCTGAACTGAATAACTGCGGGGATGGCCTTCCATTTAAATGCTGCGCGTCAAGTCACACACAAATCTACGGCAGCACGGACGGGAGGAGTCTCTGAAGAGGCCTCAGAGGTCGGCCGGGGTCTCACTCACGTGCAGGTTGTACATCGTCATGGTGCGGTACCGCTCCTGGACGTCCCTGTACCTCAGCTCCATGATCAGGGATTTGCTCCTCACTTCCGCAATCGTCGCGAGGACAAACTTGAGATCCTCCAGGGTCCCGGGGCTCTTCTTCAGGTTCTTGGCCAGGCTCTGAAAGAGAAAGTGCGGCCCTCGTCGCTCTGGCTCGGTGGGTAGAGCGTCGGCCCGAGGACTAAAGGGTGCCGGGTTCGATGCCACACAAGGGCACGTAACTCGGATGGAGGCTTGCTTCCTGCATGTGGGAGGCAACCGATCCATCTCTCTCTCTCACATCGATGTTTCTCTCTCTCCCCCCATCCCTGCCTCCCTTCCACTCTCTCTAAAAATCGATGGAAAAAATACCCTTAGGTGACGATGAACAAAAAAGAAAAACAAGTCTGCAGGACACTAAACGCACAGGGAAACGGTGCCAACGAGCCTGACCCTCATGGAAGGCGCCTTGTGACCCCGCGCTACCTCCATCTCCTCGTGGAGGCTGTGCAGCTCCTCCCGGGCCGACTCGTTGAGCAGCTTCCCGAGCGACATGACCCAGGCCTTGGCGCTCTCCTGCACCGTGTGCGCCAGTGGCCCCAGCTGCAGCCGCACGCAGTGCTCCTCCTTGACCAGGGGCTGGCGCATCACCTCCTGGGAGATCTTGGTGTAGAACTGCAGCTTCTCGTCGTAGGACACGCACGGGGGCTTCTTGGCGGCAAACTTCTCCATCACGATGGCTTTGTCCAGCTTCCAGAGGGGCCGGTACTTCTTCCACCTCTGCAGGTACTTTGTGAGGTTGACCAGAATCCGGTGGACATTCTGGGGGATCATGAGGGCCTGCTCGATGATCTGGGGGTTCAGGGAGATGTCGTTGTAGAAGGTTATGGTCACCACTTCCTCCTCCTCCCCCTTCTGCGGGGGGCATTCTATGCAGCTGCCATTCATCCAGCGAACAAAATTCTGGCAAAATAAACATAAGGGGGAGAGGTGGTGCTTCAGGATCAATTTTGCTGCCTGCACACCTATTAGTCCACAGTAGTAACTCTTGCTCGCAATGAAAATCACTTTATCCTTAATAAATTGTGCTCAGTTGCCAAAAGGACCGCCATTCTTGGTTCCTCCCACCACCTTCCCACCCGGACCAGCCTGTAACTTGACCACCAAGAGGGCTGGAAGGCTATGCATGTTCCCAGCAAGCACTCCAGTAGCTGGGCAGCTCCCACTCCGAGCTCTTGAACGAGACTGAGCTATTGCACTAGATCAGCGGTTCTCAACCTGTGGGTAGCGGCCCCTTTGGGGGTCGAACGACCCTTTCGCAGGGGTCGCCTAAGACCATCGGAAAACACATATGTAATTACATATTGTTTTTGTGATTAATCACTATGCTTTAATTATGTTCAATTTGGAACAATGAAATTGGGGGTCACCACAACATGAGGAGCTGTATTAAAGGGTCGCGACATGAGGAAGGTTGAGAACCACTGCCCTAGATGGTGATAAGCCACCCAATGGAGAGCCAGGGGCTCCAGCCAATCAGCGGTGTGCGAGTGAGGACAGGCCAGAGAGAAAGAGAACTCAGCCCAACTCAGCCTGCGGAAGCCTGAGCCAAATAAACAGCTATCGTGTTAGACTGGCAGTGGCTTGTTGTGCAAAAAAGCTAACTTTTTAAATAACAATGGCCATCCACTTTCTATAGGACGGATGAATAAAACATTAGTTTTCTTATTGACAAGTAAAGAAACACAACGTCAGGTAAACCGACCCCCTAGTGTCCCAGAAAAATCTGTTAATTTGTTGGCTTGCTTTGGTTAATTCTCATCTGAGACTATTTTTCCATTGATTTTTAGAGAGAGTGGGAGGGAGGGGGAGAGAGAGAGAGAAAGAAACATTGATGTGAGAGAGACACATCAATGAGTTGCCTCCTACACGCACCCAGGACCACAGCCAGGGAAGCAAGCCTACAGCTGAGGGACATGGCCGTGACCGGATCGAACCTGGGACCCTTCAGTCTGCAGGCCGACACTCCATCCCCTGAGCCAAACCTGCCAGGGCCAACTCTGTTCACTGACATGTCTCTGCTTCACTGTCAAGGTTCCCTCACACTCTATTTATTGATTTATTTTATAGGTTTTTATTCATTTTAGAGGAAGAGGGAGAGGGATAGAAATAGAAAAGCAATGAGAGAGAAACATTGATCAGCTGCCTTCTGCACACCCCCTACTGGGGGTTTGAACTCGCCACCCAGGCATGTGCCCTGATGGGGAATCGAACCAGTGACCTCTCGGTTCATGGTGGACACTTAACCACTGAGCCACATGCCCGGGTCCTCCTGCTTCTTTTGATGAAGGACGGTCCCTCACAGCAAACCAGGGTGCGTCCCACAGAGCGCTGCGCAGTGGGAGCAACCACCAAGCCGCTGCCACTAACATCTGACGCCGGGGCTGAGAGCGCCAGTGGCCCCTGTGCCGAGCTCCCTCCACGTGGCCCGGGGCTGAGCCCTCCCACAACTCATGGCGGTGGCTGTGCTGCCATTTCCTTCGGGAGGAGGCCCCTAAGTCCTAGTCGAAGTCTGGCTCACTTCGTTTCCAGTAATGACAGGACTCCTTTAGCTCAGAACGTGCGGATAAGCCGTATGTTACTTAGTCATGCGTGTTCACTTGCGGGGTGGCGAGGGGGGTTGTATTAAAACCACAGAACTGGTCACGATTGTGCAGAGAGCAGAGGAAGGAGAGAAGAAAAGGGGGCTCAGATAGAGCCTTCCGGATGCTCCACACTCCAGAGTCCACGGGGCGGGGGGTGGGGGGGCCAGGAAGAGACCAGGAGGTCTGGACCAAGACCAGGGTGGGGCCTGAGTGCTCGCCCCCTCGGGACTCGCCGCGGCAGGCGGGCCCACCCGAGACACCCCGCCCCACTCACCCTGGTGACCTCCACGCAGTTTCGGGCGCAGTGGACGCACATTTTGTCAATCTCATTTGCATTGGGGTGCAGGATGATCTCCGGAGCTGTCAAGATGGTCTCCGTTTGGAACAAAGGGACGTTGCCGAGGATTAAGGAGTTAAAGGCCTGCAAATTCCTAAGAGGGGTTGGGGGAAAAAAAGACTCAGAACTCGCCAGAGCAAAATACATCCAACACTCAGAGTGCCTGGAGCACAGAAGTCACAGGGAAAGGCTGTAGGAAAGGACGCCTTCGAGGGCGACATGGACAGCTGGGCTGAGCTGGTGACAGAGCCGGTTTTCCTGGCCCACATGTCACACATGCTGGGAGTTACTGCGGGGTTTCACTCAGTGTCTGCAGCCCGCCCCCGTCACTGTTCCCACCCCCACTGCCTCCGGCACAGGCAGCGGAGGGCTCACTTGAGGATGAGCTTGGTCAGGACCTCGTAGACGCGCTTCTCCCAGTGCTCGTAGTAGGTGGCCAGCTTGGGCGCCTTGCCCGTGTTGGTGTGGATGACCAGGCCCTCGACCTTGGTCAGCAGCGGCCCGATGGCGAGGTACCACCGGACCATGTAGTCCACGTCCTTGGTCCTCTCCCGGTCAATGTGCTCGAAGAACTCCTTCACGCCTGTGGGGAGCCAGCCAGTTCCTCACGGATCCGGGGGGACGGGGTCTCAGAGAGCCATCCACCCAGCCGCTGTCTCTCTTGGAAACGACAAAAGCGGCCTTAACCTTGACCCAAAGCAGAATGCAAGTCAACACCGGACGCCAGGCGGGCCAGACCCTTCGCCGCACTAAGCGGCAGCATGGCACGTCCACGCGACGTCGCACAGCAGCGCTGTCACGCTGTGGGTGAGCCTGCTGTTCTAGGGCGGCCTGTTGAGCAAGTACATGTGAGCCCCTAAGAATTACCCATGATCCTTTCAGGTACGGGGGTGAGATTGCTAGAATGGTTTTATTCCATTCATGGAATAAATGTGTGCGTGCATGTGTGTGTGCATGTGTGTGCGTGTGTGTGTACGTGTGCGCACACGTTGGCTCATAGTCACGACCAGGACGGTGCTTAAATCCCTGCCACCATCGAGGGAATAGGCAGCGGGCCCACCTGGGAGGTCCTCCTCGGTCTTGGGTGCCGGGTACTTGAAGAGGTTGATGGACTCGATCAGCGTGAGCCTGGAGGCAATGTCGTCCGCGTTCTTATGAATCTGGTGGACGAGGGACTCGAACTTCCCGATGGCCTGCTTGCACCGCGTTATGTAGTCAGCAATACCTTTGGAGGAAGAGAGAGACCACGCACAGAAGTGAGAATAGGCTAGAGGCTGCCAGCGGGAAGGGAGGTCAGGCTGGGAGGGGAGGCGTGGCTTTCAGGGGGCACGCGGGGGGCCCTGTGGGTGGGGACAGCCTGTGTCCTGGCTGTGATGAGTGAGAAGTTAGCGCTCGGGGGACCAGGTGAGGGAACACAGGATCTCCCCGAGCGCATTCTTACAGCAGCGTGCGAACCCACGATCGTTTCAAAATGGAAACGTTAATTTTAGAAAGTGAAGCGGTCCCTGCTGCTGGAGGAGAGAGCTATGGGTCAGCGGATGTGCAAACAGCACCCACCTCCCCCCCACTCCCGACTGAGGCCTCGGGACGAAGTGATACTCCCCCTGGGCCTGCGACCACGTGTGTCCGCGTCCAGAAACCAGACCCCGCCCAAAGCTGAACGCCGCGAGGCCGCAGGCGGAGGCGTCACCTAGCGAGTTCCAGTTCAGCCTCTTGAACCCAGACCGGAACACGCGGAGCAGCTCCTGCGAGTGGTCGTCGAGCAGGGCAGACTCGGCGTCGTTCAGCGTCCGGACCAGCGCGTGGTAGTGGTCCAGCATGTGCTGGATGCCCTCCGTGTACCTGCGAGCCGGGGACAGACCCGGGCACGGGAGGCGAGGGCAAGCGGCGCGTAAGGCTCCTAGCAGAGGCACGCCCTGGCTCACCACGGGCCACGAGGGACCGGGAACCGGCCTGAAACTCTCATGGAGACCTTTGCAGAATCGCAAAGCGCTGCCCCTCTTCCCACTAACTCTTTCTCTTTGGAACATTTTGGTTACTTCTCATTCACAGTGTTATTTATGTTCACCTGAAATGGCTTTGTTATTTTTAGATAAATGAGTAAAAACGTATTCTGGACACTGCTTTGTTTTCGTTTCTACTGGTAAATACTGGTCATTATAAGATCCACAGAATGCAAGCCCCGGGAAGGGGCTCGGCGTGGTTGGGGGGGCGGGGCAGCCCGCGACCAGAGCTGCGCCACCGGGAGACGCGGTCGGTACCTGAGGAACTTGTCCTCCTGCAGCGCCACGTTCCTTGCTAACTCGGGGACAGGGAATCCCAGCTGCTCCAGGTACTTGGTTTCGTTAATAATCTCCCTGAGAGCGAACGGGAAATTGATGGCGAACGTGATGCCCCTGTCGGAGCTCTCGGCGGCGTCCTCGGGGTTGGCAGTAATCTGTGGAGAGACGTGCCCGCCGTCAGCACGGGCAGGCCCTCGGGAAGCGGTCAGATCAACACCGCCCGAGGCGCGTGGACTTGACAGGCGGGCGGGGAGCAGCCGGAACCAGCGCAACTACACGATTTTATTTGGTGAACAGTTTTAATTTCGTTTAGCCACCCAACTCGAAACTTGGGCAACTGCATCTAAAATCCCATAATCCTCTCTCCTCTCGGCAACGTGGAGAAGCTGACGCTGTGAGACCGTGGGCTGGGGTGAGGTGCGGCATCCTTGCAGGCCCCGGCCCGCGTCACTCCCTGCGGTCCTCCTTCAGGACTTCAGGCACCAAAGGCCTCAGCTCACCAGGCCCGGCCCCTCCTTGCGGCCGGAAGGCAGGTACTGAGAATTGCCACGTGCCAGCCCCAAAGGGCAAGGACAGGACGGATCCCGAGAAGCGCATCCCCTGCAGGTTTAACATGGTCCACGGCCAGCTGCTCCCTCTGTGGTTCCACGAACACTGTGTGCCATTGGCTCCGGCTCATTTTGACAAACGGGGAAACTGAGGCTGAGTGAAGCCGACCCAGGTGCGCTCCCTGCCTGTGGCACTGCTGTCCCCGCCTCCCCTTCCTGCTGCTCCTCGCCCCCAGCCTGGGTGGGTGTCGGGGGAGCGATGTCCACCCCTCACGTGGCACCGCACCTTCATGAGCAGGCTCTTCTTCATGAGCGTCGGCAGCAGCTGCTCTGTCGTGTCCCTCCACAGCTCGTACTTCCGTTCCTCGTAGTCCTTCATCGTCCTGCCCACTTCCAGGTACTTTTGTTTTACCTGTCACAGAATTCAAGCACTATCATTCTGTCCTTAGAAATGAACCTCTCTCTCTCTCTCTCTCTCTCTCTCTCTCTCTCTCTCTCTCTAAAAGAAATGGTCTACCCATTCTGCAAAAGGAAGCAGGCAGAAGGTCACAGATGCCGGAGGGCCTGCTGGGGGGTGGGGGTCCGAGCCCCAGGCTGACGAGCAGACATCGGCAGCGCACTCGGTGCAGCCAGGAACTAAGCACGGCTTTCACAGTTTAAAATGCGTTTTTAGGGACTCTTAGGGGGAGAGAGGGAGCGGGAGAAAGGAGCATCGGGGAGAGGGAGGCCGCGGCAATCGCTGCGCACCTCCTCGCCCCGCTCGCTGTCCAGGATCTCCTGCACCTCCTGGAACCGCAGGATGGTGTGCTTGATGCGGTAGAACAGGGAGCGCTCCCAGTAGATGGCGCCCGCCACCGGGGGGTGGTTCTTGTACAGAGGCGGGTTCTCGTGGTTCTGGACGAAGATTTTATTGATGATGTCGATCTGGAAAGAAGCGCACGCGCTCTGTGAGCGAGAGCCCACTGCGTAGCTGAGAACACGCATCTCTAAAGAAGTGAACACGGGAACACCCAGAAATAGGCTAAAATCGCGTTCTTACTGCTGAACTTACTATTTACTGCTTTCCCATGTATTTCCCAGTAGTTTCCTCTTGTGAACACATGCAGTGTTACAAACTGCCTGCCAGCTAGACTGTGGGCCTCCGTCTGACATCAGAAACCCTGCATCTGCTCTGGACGTGCCCCGAGGCCTGTGACCACGTCACTGGGATTGCTGTGAGGACGCACACGCAGGGCGCACCGTACGCGAGGGGACAACTTCCCACTGGACAATCCACTCAATGCTCCAGCGGCAAGGAGCCCGCTGCGCTGTGGCTGCCTGTACTACGTGGCACGCGGGCGTGGGGAAGCGCCACGGGCGCTCTGAATGTGGGGGGAAGACAGACAGGGTGGCTGGACTGTTCACACTCCAGCGGCAGCCGGTTTTGTCACTCACCTCCTTACAATACTGCACGAGAATGTCGTTAAACTTCATCATCATTTGCCGGTTGATGGCCTCCCGTGACCGGATGTGCTTGAACTTCAGAAGCATGTCAAACGCTGCCTCGGCCGACCGAAGCGTCTTAAAGGACTCGTCAATAAAATTTTTTGCTTCTTTCTCGATAACCTGCCAAAACAAAACAGCAAAAAAGTCAAGAAAACATCCCTCATGCCACCGTATTGTCCTGCAGAAGCAAAGTGGCAAAAGAAAAAAAGGCGGAAAGAAATCAGTGCCTTGCGAAGGCTCCGCGGCGCTCCAGCGGGGGCTGGCGGCGGCAGGACGGCGGGTGGCGCGTGGTTTCCTGCCCTCCCTCAGCCAGCACACGACGACAGAAGAGACATTTTTAAATATTAACTTATCGGACAAAGACCAGGGCGAGGGCACAGCAGCAGAGGACCCTTTGGAAGCAGAGAACGTAACTACAGGAGAGAATTTCGTCCAAAGCCGACAACGGGCCCATCTGCTCCCCTTGGAGACCAATGGGAGGCTGAGCATTTGGAGGCACCAGGAAGAGGAGGGGCAGCGAGGATCCCTCTCACCCACCCAGGCCGGCTCCGCAGCGAGGATCCCTCTCACCCACCCAGGCCGGCTCCGCAGCGAGGTCACGGCGCCCGGCTCGATTTCAACGAATTCACCCAGGGAGGAGAAGTGGGGACAGAGAAGGCTGAGCGCTCACTTCTACCTTACGCTCTTCTGTGTTGTTTCCATATTTTACAAAAAAGCAGCTATTAACCTTTGTGATTAAAAAAAAATCCACGTACAAAACTCAAAGGATACCTAAGCCGCCCGACCACTGAAAAAGGGAATATGGCGTCCGTGTCCCAGGTCGGCGACGGACTACTTGCCAGAACCTCGATCTTGAAGTCGTCCATCACATACTTCCAGTAGTGCGAGGACTGGATGCAGAAAGGGTCGAAGGTCAGGGTCTCCATGGGGGTGACCAGGTTGTCCACCCGGCACAGGACGTCGTCGATGCGTTTGGGGTCCCCCGTCACGGCCTTCAGTTCTGGACCAAATATGTTATAAAATTCCTCCATCACCTGCGCAAGCAACAGAAGACCAGGAGGTCACCTTCACTTTCGCATCGAATGTTCTCGCAACAAATGGACTGCGCGCCAAGCCCGGTCTGAGGACCAGGACCCTGTTCCGCCGGAACCTCCCCCGTCTGAGCCCGTGGGGACCAGGCCCGCTGCCTGCAGGACAGGAGCCAGACGCCCTGACCAGCTGACAAAGCTTGTGTGCTCGGGCCCCTCCTTCCCCCTCCTCCCTCGTCTCACGCCTCTTCCCGGAGCAGCTCGCGGGTCACTCAGCATTTCCCAGGATGGCTGCCCTTGGGCAGGAGCTGCTGGGCTCTAGCTTGACCACGAGCCTTGCCATGCTGTCCCCTAGGCCACGAGTTCTCCGTGAGCTCTCGGGACTGCTCCTTGTCGGTCACTCTCTCTTCCCAGGCATTGTTTCTTGGACACAGTGTGAGCCAAACAACGCCGCAAGGACTTCACGGCTTTAAAAGGAGCCTGATGCCCAGCTGGTGTGGCCCAGCTGTGGAGCGTCGACCTATGAACCAGGAGGTCAGGGCTTGATTCCCTGTCAGGGCCCAGGCCCGGGTTGTGGGCTCCATCCCCAGTGCGGGGTGTGTAGGAGGCAGCGGATCGGTACTTCTCTCTCATCATTGGTGTTTCTCTCGCTCTCTCTCTCTCCCTTCCTCTCTGAAAGCAAAAAAACATATTTTTTAAAAAAAATAAAGGAAAGGAAACGCGCTCCCGCCTCCCTACCTGCAGGACGTCGTAGAGGTCCTGGCAGATGGTGGCCATGTAGTCCGTCCTCTCAAACAGCCGCTTTCGGTCGAACTCCCAGCGGGCCTCCCTCCCCGAGGCCTCGATCTTGGCCCTGGTGTCGAAGTAGGCCTTCTTCCACATGTCGAGGGAATTCTTGGCCTCCAGGGTTTTGTGCTGTGCACTCGCCCGGTTTTCTCTGCGATTAGAGGGACCGAGATGGGAGGGAAGGCGGAGACGCGGGGGGTCCGAGTCACAGGCCCCGGGGAGCGGGTTTCTCTGGGGAGGGTTCTAACTGAGGAGCAGAGCCTCTTTCTCCAAAAGCTTACTGGCGGCGGCTGCTCTGTCCCAAGGGCCAGGCTGGGACAGGAGTGCCACACTGCGGCCCTGAGCTGAGGCAGCGCCCACCCAGCGTGCATGGCTGAGGCTCGCGCGGAGCTCTCTGTCTGAGCGGGAAGAGGCGGTGGCCGTGGGTCCCCGGCCAGAAGTCAGTGGTTGGGGCTGCCACATCGGAGCAAGATGACAGGGCCAGGACGCTGCCTCTGTCCCCTCCGTGGGCTTCCTTTGTAAGAAAGTGAAGGAAGACCTGTGTCTCCTCCAACAGTTGATCCTCAGAGGCTATTCCACCCGAGGGGCCTGGGGTCCAGAACTCAGAGTCTCCTAACTCTGCACCTCGGTCTCTCCCAGGGCAGCTAAGTGCTAGTGAATGAATCACCCCATGGCCACCTGAGGGTGTGACTCCGCCACGGGGAGGGGGGGAACGAAGCACTGGCCCCCGCGACAGCCCGGACGGACCGGGACACAGCGCTGAGCCCAGAGGGCGCCGCGGGCCGGCCTCTCACCTGAACAAGGTGCGCAGGTTCACCACCCTGCAGACGCGCTCGGCGATCTCCCAGGCGATGCGCTCCATGAGGGGGATCATGCGCTCGTCCTTGTTGTAGTGCCGCGAGATGATCCACACCATCCGCAGCGCGCTCATCATGGAGGGGATGGTCTCCAGGACCACGTGGAAGCTGGACCCATGTGTGATGTTCTGCCCGGAAGAGAGCAGAGCCCGCCAGCTTAGCCCGGGCCACCGACGTTCCTCAGCCTCGTGTGCAGGCCGGGCCCTCCCACTCGCCCCACAGGCACTTGCGATGGAGGACGAGTTGGACCAACAGAAGGCGTTTAACATAGGTCGGAATGGACTGTGGGGGGAGCTTTGTAATTACAGCAAACAAAGCAATTTACGGACATGTGTAACATATGGGTGTCACGTGTATCGTACGCAGATAAATACACTGAATTTAGTGGCAAGAGTGCCACCAGATGAATCGAGGCTGCTACTCTACAAGTGACCGGAGCCAGTGTTTTCCAAGCTGTGCCCCCGGCAGGAAGTGAAGTGATTTTGCCAGCACTCGGCACGTGTAGAAAGACACTTATTCCAGTGTGTATCAGAAGAACACAGGGAACTGGCCTATCAGACCCGTGACGGCATCGGCATTATCGTTTAAGGTGAGACTAGATCACACACGCACATACAATCGCACACGCACATACAATCGCACACGCACACACACACACACCGTGAATAACCTAAAGCCAGCGTGCCGACGGCCTCGCCAGCTGAGCCGCACTGGGCAGGGCCAGGCAGCAGCGTTTGGCCGTTGTCACCCATGGTGCCCATCAACCAGCTACTAAAGTTCTGTGGCCACCAAAAAATATACTATCTTCCTTGCTGATCTGACAAAAAAAAGACGGCTATTGTTTTGTCGGCCGCTGTCATGTTTTACTGGGCGACCTGAGGGAGAGGGGTCAGGGCCCTGACTAAAGGTCAGGGACTGCAGGTTTGAAAAGCCCCTGCGGCAGGCGCCCGGCTGAGACCGCGGGCTGAGGCACAGACTTGACGCTGGGGATGAGCCGGTGTGGGACGTGGGCAGTGACGGTGGGGCCACAGCGCCGTGGATGCATTCAGTGCACTGCCCCACGCCTACACGTGGCCAGCACAGCGACCGCTCCTATGCGCCTCCCGAGGCAGCTGTAAAAGCCGCGCGGTGACCAAGGAAACGGGCGCACCTTGAAGTGGCGCTCCACGGTGGAGAGGAAGCGCACGTTGTCCGAGGCCTCCATGTGCAGCTTGAAGAGGTCCGTCAGCACCGGCTGCAGGTTGGCCACGAGCAGGGAGTCCGCCTCCTTGATCACCTCCAGGACCTTCCTGACGATCGGGAGCTTGGTCTGCTCGTAGAGGGCGCTCAGGGTCGCGTTCCTCTCCCTCCAGAACTCGATCTCGGCCAGAGGACCATGACCCTGGAGGCACACGGACACACAGCTGCCGTCCTCGTCCGTGTGGAGGGGGCAGTGGGGCTGCTCCCCATGCTCCACGCAGGGCGGATCCGCACGAGGACGTCGGGATGGACATGTAACCCAGGAGGGTCGTCCAAGTGGACCTCAAGACTTCACCTGGGAGTCTAGACAAAGCCACGTGGTCTCTCTCTGGACAATGTGGGGATGCAGGGCCCGACATGCTACAAACCGCTACCTTGAAGGAAGCCAGCCTGAGAGGAAGCCCCCACAGAGAGGAGGGTGGAACTGAGAGATGCCCAGAGAAACAAAGCCAGGGCCTTGATCAAACCATACCTGAAGCCAGCCTGCCTCTGGACTTTTCAGTTATGTGAGGCAACAAATGCTTTCTTACAGAAGCCCGCTGGGTGGTGTGTCCTGTTCTGGATGGCCCAGCCCTCCTGATGGATACACAGCATCGCCTACATCAACCCAGGAAGCAACCTGGCAGCGCACTGACATCAGAGAGCCCACGACTACCTGGGGGGCGTTTACTTCCATCCTTGAAGGAGGCCCCAAAACAGGGAGAAAAGAGGCTGGACCACTGGGACCCCGAACACACGGCTCTTTCTCAGGGAGGCCGGCGTGGCCTGTGCAGGGCTCTCTGAGCGCCGCCCGTGGTACCTGTGGCGTCTTCTTCAGCTGGCCCTCCATGGCCACGGTGATCTGGCCCAGCCAGTTGATGACACACTGCTCCAAGCTCTCGACGATTTCCGGGTCAGCAGCCAGGGCATACACCTCGCCCTCCACGCTGATGCTGGGCATTTCTAATTTGATCTCTCCTGCGCGGAGCAAAGTGCTTGGTCAACACTCCGGGGGAAATGAATCCAGACAATAATGTTCTGGTGGACCTGCTGGCTCTTGTCCCCACAGTCAGCGTAAGGGGACACATCCCCTGCCCTGACCCGCCTGTACTTCATTACTGCGTAGCTGAAACATCTTAGAGAATGCAGCATTGTTCCCAGGGTGAGCCCGATCAAACTGATGTAATTATTTAAGGTGTTCCTGAATTTAAAATCTACTAACTTCCATCTCAAAACTGAGCCCTAGCTGGTTTGGTTCAGTGGGGAGAGCGTCCGCTGGTGGACTGAAGGGTCCCAGGGTGGATTCTAGTCAAGGATGTGTCCCTGGGCTCCCAGCCCTGGTCCAGGGCAGGCAGGAGGCAACCAATCGATGTGTCTTTCTCAAATTGGTGTTTCTCTCTGTCCCTCCCACTCCTTCCCACTTTCTCTAAAAATAAATTTTAAAAATATCCTCAGGTGAGGATAAAAAAAAAAGAAAGGCCAATTTCTAAAAAAAACTGACCAACCAGAAGAATACAGCTGACATGTATGAGCTTTCCTTGTGGGCAGAGTCCCACTGTAGGTGCCCCAGAGCTCGCCAGGTGAGTGTGCAGATCTGTCCTCTGCACGCCCGAATCTGTGGGACAGGAAGTCGGAACACACACCACCCAACCAACCCTAATGCACACGGGTGGGCATGTGAGATGGGCACTTAAAGAGAGAACATCTAGGCCCCAGTTGTATTTCAGCTCCAGGCCCAGAAAGTCAGCAAAACCAGGTAAGCAGCGCCAGGGCTGACCTCAGGACCAGGTGCAGTGAGTGGTGGCCCCGCCTGGCGCCGCCAGTCCCCAGGGGAGTCCACAGGCCTGCAGGACACGTCTGGGAAGCTGCTGAGTGTGCTACTGACTCCTCCCCGGGGCCGCCCCTAAAACCTCCCCCATAAATGTTCTCTATAAAAATTGAAAAAAAAGTGAACCACCCAGCCAGTGGTTGAGCATCGACCTATGAACCAGAGGTCAGGGCACAGGCCCGGGTTGCGGGCTCGATCCCCAGTAGGGGGCGTGCAGGAGCAGCTGATCCATGATTCTCTCTGATCATTGATGTTTCTATCTCTCTCTCCTTTTTTCCTCTCTGAAATCAGTAAGAACATATTTCAAAAAAAAAAAAAAAGAATCCTAAGTTAAAACAAAAAAGCTTGTGGACTCTTAAATTGCCTTCTTCAAGTAAAGTCGTCATGCTTAACTAAAGAGGAGAGATGAAAGCTTACCTTCAAGCTGCTGCACTGTTCTTTGAATATTATTTGCAAATTTCTGGACGTTCATTAAGAACTCATCCCGTATTAACTGAACGCTGTGGTACTCCACGGCCTCCCCGTGCGCGTTCAGTAGTTCCTCTTCAGTATCGAGAGAGTCCAGCATTTCTCCAGGGGTCAGCGCCACGCTCGCCTCCTTGTGCTGATTGAAGGACAAAGCCGGCAAGAAAACCTGAAAGGCCGAGGTGACGAAACCAATCACCATACGACCTCAGGTCAATGACGTGTGCTCTCAGGACGCCCCTGGCTTGGAACCAAAGGCACAAATGGAAGGACAGAGCCCAGGACGGGGCCTGGACCCACGAGCTGCCTGCTGGCGGAGTGCCTCCGATGGCCTCAATCTTACACGCGCGGCTGTCTTCCTCCGCCCACGCTCACCTGATACATAATGTCTCTGAGGAAGTGCAGCATGTTGGCATTTAGGATCCCATACTCCAGCGTCTCGGGCATGATCTCCATAGCTTCCTTCATGTAGCTGGCCTCCGAGATCGTCTCTGAAAGGGAGCGGGCGCAGGGGGGCTGCGGGGTCGGCAAATGGCACACAGCCCCGGTCAGGGGCCAGCGCCCTCTGCCCAGACTCAGAGTAAACGGGGGCTGGAGGCACCCAATGGCGCACCGGGGTCACGGACCGGGACACGCAGCGCCCACGCCCTCCACGGAGGAGGCCATCTAAGCCGGACAAGAGGAGGACCAACTAGGGTTTCCTAGAAACACCTGCTGGGCTCCCCGCTCTGCAGGTCTCTGCCTCCCATCAATGCCTCCCCGGGCCACTGGCAAAGTCCCTTCTGAATCCTGGGGTTCGCATTGGGTGACAGTCTGCCGTGCTGCCCGGGGCGGACCGGATATGAATCACTGCATCCACCAGAGACAGTCATGTCACCTGGACGTCAGATTTCGGTCTAACGAGGGAAAAGGGAAACACACCGACAATTCTCCAGGTTCGGTCTCGGTGCGTCCCCCATCTGCGGAGACGTGCGCTGCGCTTTGCCAGACACCTTTCTCTCTAACACACCCGCAACCGTGCACCCTCTCGGGAAGGTACCTTTTGTATTTCTCAGGAAAAACACCACGTTCTGGGCCAGAAACTCCTCGGGGACAGGAGTGCAGAGCACGTGGAGATGCGTCACGTCCACGATGTGCTTGACGGTCCTCTGAAACGGGGCAGCGCCGCCACAGGAGATACATCGTCGTCCCCTCCCCCACCCCCATGACCTCACCCCCAGCTCAGCTGCGCTGTCCCCGCCAGGCCCAGCTCCGCTCTCACTCCTGGCAGCGCAGACGCAGCTGCACCTCAGGCACGAGCCACTCGCGGTTTAAAAAAAACACAAATGACCTGACAGGGTTTTCTGGGCCACGCTTTGCAATAGACCAAGACTGAATTCCGTGTTGGGCGTGGGGCATATGCATACGGCAGTTAAGTGTTATTTCCCTGAGCAGAGGTCAGGCTAAACGCTGCATGCCAGCCTTAAGCTGCACCCCCGGGACCTGTACGGGAAAGGGTTAACTCAGCAGGCCTCGATGTCCAAACCTTGCACATTGCAAAGTGTCTGCCGCTGGCCCTGAGTGCACCTGGGTGCGAACCCCTCCGCTTTTGGAGCATCCCGCCTGACACCAGTGTCTGCCCACCTGAGGGTAGCTTCTACCAACTCGGTGATGTACGGTGACAGCCCGTCTGCCTGGGGCCGTGGGTCGCACTGTAGCAGTTTGACCTCTGAGGGTGCTGGGACGGAGCAGCTAAAGTGAGACAGGAGGGCACTTCCTGCCTGTGGGACTGACCCCCTGGACACCAAGGCTCAGGTGAGCTTCCCGATTTGCAACACTTCACACCTGCTGTCCCACGCAGGCAGCCGCTGGGAGAATTAGCTCTGTCCACGTCCCCACCCCCGGGGCGGGCCAGGGGAAGCTCAGGCCTGCACCCAGCCTCCTTTCCTCTTGCTGATCTGCACCTGCCTGCTTTCCCTGAGATAAACTCTATCCGGGACTACAAAAGCTCTTCTGGGTTCTGGGAGTCATGCAGCGAACCATGCGATCCCAGGGCGTCTCGGGGACTCCCACCACCACAGAAGGCTGTCACCTCCAGGCCTCGGAGGACCTGTGTCAGTCCCCCGGCCTCCGCAGAAGGCCCCAAACTCCCAATGCCTCCCGAGGAGACGAGAGGCGCGCGTACCTTGGCGAGCCTGTGTTCCGATCGCTCTCTGACCCAGTTGTCATCCTCTGTGCTCATCATGGACTGAAACATGGAACTGGCTCTCGAATGCCCATTCTTAGCTGCAAAACGTCATTCGATGAACAAGAGGAGCCACTCAGAGAACCGGGTTCCCTCCCAGCGAGACCAAACGCGCAAGCCGTCCGGGAGCACATTCCATGCTACAGGCCTGGCATCAAAAGGCGCACTCGCGTCTTTTACAAATGGGCCTCTCGTGGCCCCAACTCACACTCCCGTCAGGAGAGTTGTACTGCATTTTGGATGGGCCCTCAATCAGAAATGTAGCACGCGTGTGCATATGTGTGTGCACGTGTGCGAATGTGTGTGTGCGCATGTGTGTGTGTCTTCTACGACTGTGTCCAACGAGTGACTTCCCAGCGTTTTACTTTGAAAAATGGGTTTTATCACCAGGACGAGAATCACCGCTGACACGTTAGCATGTGCTCCTTTTTCACTACAAAACTCGAAACTTGTGGGCGATGCAGAGAAAAGTTATCTAGACGACGTGGCCTGGTCAGAACCTCCCAGTGGGCAGGTCACGGCGCGTGGTCAGCCCCAGGCACAGGACTTCCCAGCTTCGCTGCGAGCAGGCCTGGTCCATCCAAGGCTCGCAGGCCTTTGAAACGCCTCCTGTCAGACGGCTCCTCCTACAGCCCCCCCACTTCAGGGAGCACCCCACCTCTACTGTCCTGTCAACCCAACCCCGTCTGTCCCCCACGCCCCTGTCATCCTCCTCCTGTGCCCCCTTCGTCTCAAATGCATAAAAGAAACTGCAACCGCTTACTCTCAGGAGCCCCTGCGACCCGGCTCCCAGGCAAATGTCACCAGTTTGGCCCAAATAGACGCATAAAACTTCTCTGCAGCCCCAGCCCTGGAGGGTGTGTCTCTGTCGGTTGAGCACCGGCCTGTGCACCTTGGGCGCCAGTTTGATTCCCAGGGCACAGGCCTGCGCTGCCCTCGGGCCCCAGCAGGGGGCGTGCAGGAGACAGCGGACGGCTGTTTCTCTCCGTCTCCTTTCCTCTCTTTAAAATCAGTAAAAATATATTTTTAAAAAACACACACAAAACCCTCTGCAGGTTTGGACGTTTCCTACATCCACAGGAGAAAAGAGGGAGATGCAGACACAGGCCCACGGGGAGGACGCCACGTGACTAGAAGCCAAAATGTAGGGATGGCCTCCAAGCCAATGGCTCACCACCACCACCCACCAGCCACTGGGGAGCAGGGGGGGTCCCCCAGGAGCCTGCAGGGGGCGCTCAGCCCGGCGGACAGCTCCCCTCGGGCATGCGGCCTGCAGAAGCCGCTGTGGAGGGAAACTGACGGTGGGCCCGCCGCCCGTCAACCCCGCATGTTCCCTCCCGCGACCTACACACCTCGGCACCGCGAGGGTCAACAGCGGAAATGAGTCCCGTCCGGGCAACAACCCTCCCGGTTCTGCCCGCGGAGCGCCCTCCGAACCCCGCACCTGACACTTTGTCCATGGACTCGATCTTCGGAGACTTGGTCTCTTCTTCCTCCGCTTCCTCCCCCTCCGAGGCGGAAACCTCGTCTTCGCAGCCGGAGAAATGGAAAGAGAAGAATAAGTCATCACCGACTCACGGCCGACACACCTGGCATCGCAGCTCTCCTCGGGGCGGAGGAGCTGGACCTGGCGGGAGAGCCGAGCCTATGGGAGGGGGTCTCCACCGGAAGTGACCCCGGTTGACCCGGAAGCTGGCCCCGGGCAGTAAGCGGTCCCTCCCCCACCCCTGCCCTTGGAATGGAAAGTTCCGCCCACCATCCCAGCGCAGCGGGAGGCCTTTGCAAGGGCGCAGCCTGAGAACCGCGTGTGGTTGAGACCACGTGGGTGGGGACCATGACTGATCCCTGCCGAGGCCTGTGGGTAAACTAAGGTCCCGGCGGTCCCCGGTGCGCCAGGGCCCCCCACAAGCCTCTGATGGGAGCCCCCTGGCTCAGTAAACCCGTCGGTCACCAATACGGCTGCCCTTCTCCATGCACCGGGGCCAGTTTGTGAACCCACACGGTCATACAGAAACATGCGAGGGAGCGAGACAGCCGTGAGCGATGCAAACCGAAGCCGTGCAAATCCTCCAGCGGGGAGGGCACTGGCACCCCCGATCTGGCGACGGTGGAGACGAACCAAAAGGAGGGGAAGGGCGGGGGAGAGTCAGAGGCTGCCCAGAAACAGACCACCACCCAAGGAGGTTTCCAAGTGCCTTTGGAGAGCCCAGGAATTAATCGGGGGACCCTCTAAAGTGAGAATGTAATCTGGGTCCATGTTGAAGGGGGACATCCAGCCAGGAGACACTGGGCTACACGTGTGAGTATACACCGCACCGAAAACAGCGGTCACACGTAGTGCAAGTCGAGTCCATTTCTTAGGGTGTTGATCTATATATTTTAAGTACAAAATCGGGGTGACTGAAACTTGGCCCATGTTAAACAGTCGATCCCGTTCGTGTATCTTTGTGTCCATATTTTCACTTGGGGATAATGAGAGTCCAAGGTCCTGCTATAACGTAAGGTCTGCCTGGGAGAAAGTAATGAAAGGCTGGAAGAATAGATTCCTCTCTCTGGGTGCCGCTAGCAATCCGTTATGGTGGTTATGTGGTGGTTTTAGCTTTCTCTACAACGCAAAATAAGTGTATTGCCTGCGCGGCATGGCTGTGGTTAAGCATCAACCTATGAACCAGGAGGTCACGGTTCTATTCCAGGTCAGGGCACAGGCCTGGGTTGTGGGCTCGATCCCCAGTGTGGGGCGTGTAGGAGGCAGCTGATCCATGATTCTCTCTCATCACTGATGTTTCTAACTCCCTCTTCCTCTCTGAAATCAATAAAAATATTTTTTTAAATATAAATAAATGAAAGCTGCCCTTTTTAAAACCTCGTTTGCACATT